GGAAGGAAGGAAGGAAGGAAGGAAGGAAGGAAGGAAGGAAGGAAGGAAGGAAGGAAAGGTCACCCTGATGCTTGTAAGTGCAACTTTCCGAGGAGGAGGAGGAGGAGGAGCAGCAGCTGTCTCCTGGATCATACCCCTTCCTTGGGTCTTGCATGGAAAAGCTAGAGGAATGCCTTGGTGTCAACTTTCACAGGTGAATTTTGAAAAAGCCAGACCAATGAGCAAAGATCAAATTCTTGTCAATGCTGACCGTCACGTACCTGTAAAGATCAGAATTCACTTCGGTATCATTGAAAAGTAGGGAAATTATATTTTATTTTTGGATATCCATGAAATGAGTTGGCACAAAGATCAAAATTCACCGTGTTGGGCATCCAATGTATGACAGGCAGGTGCGTTTTCTTTTTCGGGGCTCTCGGAACTGGAGTGCCAGAATTTAACTTTTCCTACACTTCAGCTCCGTAGATGCTCACGTGGGCTAACCAAAGGTCAGCTGAGTGTTGTGTGACGCAGCTGATGTCAGCGTGCAGTGGGGCTGTTTTCCTTGTGGGAGTGCTCTTGTTTCACAAACATTTTGCAAGAAAAGCCTCAAAGGCAGGAAGAGGAGAAAGGACTTGTGTTTGCTCCTGGCACCCTGCGCATGTGTGTGCTTGCATCCTGGTGTGGTGATGTTGATATGGTGATGTCTTTGGCACCTTTTGGTGAGATGCTCTTGGTAAATCGCAATCCTCCCGGCTTCTCTCCAGTCCAAAGAAGGCACAAAAGCCCAGGACAGCAAGCGGGCTGAGAACAGGCCACTGAAGACCAAGTGGCTGAGGGAGTACACCATCAAAAGCCACTCGAGCATGCCTCCAAACAACACCTACGTCACCTTTGAACGCTTTGCCCACCTGGTGGAGGAGGTCTCTGGGATGGAGAAGAGCTTCGGCGCCCTGGCCGTGTCCCACGATTCCTTGCAGGAGGACATTGACACCCTGGTTTCCATCTACAACGAGAAAGAAGCTTGGTACAAGGAAGAGCATGAAAACGTGAAGCATGAGCTTTCCCAGCTGAAGTACGAGTATCGCAAGATCGACTCCCTGAAGAAGCATCTGAAAGATGACGTCCAGGCAGTGGGGGCCAACCTTGCTGGGGTCACAGGGAAGTATACCGACCTGCAGTCGCACTACGAATTGCTGAGCAAGGAGCTGTCGGAAGAGCTCAGGTGGATGCAAGACTTAACGGGCAGCTTTTGGCCGGAGGGCCGGGCCGAGGGCCACGCGCCGGCAAACTTCGGCTGCGTCGTCCGCAAGGACATCAACGACTCTCTTATGGAGCTGCTAAACAGATCGTGCTGTGAAGAATTCCTGGCAGCCTTAAACCTGGGCATTACAAAACCGAGTCAGTGATGGTGCTGAAAATGCCATTCGGATCGAAGTGTTTATATTTATGCCGCCTGTTTCAGTCTGAATTGGCGAGGAATGGTCTTGACAGGCGCTTGCTCTCATTCAGGAGGCCTGCATGCTAAACTGACATCTTTGGTTTGTTTATCTTTGAGCAAAGGTTATTCGACAGACACTTGTTACCCTTGTATTTTTATGTGTCTCCGTGAAAATATGTCACAGCGGAGACGCCTTGGGGCTGTGGATGTTGCCTGTCACGGGTGGATCCCACTGAATTTCTAAGAAGGCGAGCTTTGCCTTTTTTTTAAAGCCTGCCCTATTTTTATCCTTTGAAAGATGGCCTTAGCTTACCTTCGCAGCAGAAGACCTCCTCAATACTTGATTGTGGACCAGCGTCCTTAAAAGCTTTTATTTATTGCTAGGCTGCAGCAATAAAGAGGCATTGATTTTCTTTTGCTTTATTTTTAATAATGATGGAGCCAGATGTGCAGCCTACTGCCCTGCAAAGCGTTCTGGCTGAAAGCAGGTCTTGTGAATGCGTCCGAGAATAAACGGAGGGTTCTGAACAAATCTGCACAGATCCATACCTCCTCAGACGCGCTGCGTAAGGCGGGGCCTTCAGCCTGGACATTCGTCTCACTCCAAATAAACAAACCATCTCAGCCCAGTTAAGACATCAAATCTCTCAGGAACGAGAGAACTAATTTTCTTATGCAGATGATTAAAAAATGAAAGAGGGAGGTGACATGGAAGATGCGTTTCTGGTTTGCTGATCTTGTTCAGATAGCGTCCACTTTGCCAGCTCGTTAACTGATCTGAGAGATCAAGACCCAATAAATATTTGTTTAATACAGTGTGGTTTCTAGGCATACCTTTTGTTCAAACACCCTGCAGGATGTTCTTGCGTGTTGTGGGGAATTCCACTTTGTCCTTGTTTCTTGGGGAGACTAGCAGTTACTTAGAAATTAGTTTCCTCCCAGGTCAGCCATAGCATGACCTGCAATGCTCAGGAACTACTTGATGAAGGAGGTGAACCGCAGTTTTGCACTGCATGGAAAGGAAGAGGGGACCTTTTGCGGAGAAAGGAGGAACTGAGGTTGGAATAAAATGGGGGGGGGAGTCCAGACACCAGCTGCTTAGTGAGCTGTCTTCCCCTCAGTCCCACATTCACCTTCTAGACTGCAGAAGTTACACCCTTCCCAGGAAAGCTACAGAAGGAAGCTCAGTTGCAGTAGAGGGCCTCCTGAGATCTTCCGATGTTCTCTGGATCTTCTCAGGCCTTGAACTGAAGCAAATTTCTCCCTGGGACTGAAGCTAGTTTTCAACCTAGTCTTGTATTACCTTTTAATGTGTGTAAACCATCCAAAGTCTTCTGGAGTTGGGCAGCAGATAAATATGGTAAATAAATGAACAAAAGCACAGCAAATAAATAAATATTTCAGAGAGCATCTTGGTCAGCTGCCTGTGGTTTTTCCTCATCTAAAAGGTATATCCCTGAAACTATAGGCTCATATTTCAGTGGCGAAACGTTTGCATCTGTAGGACTGTTAGGGCATGGTGACGGTAGTATTGTAATTTTATAGAGGGCATTTAGTGTGCCCAGCATGTCACAAAAACAAGGAGATGGGTCCTCCTCTAAGGAGCTTGCAGACTAAAATTTAACGCCTGTGTAGGAAAACCCAGGGAGAAAGCAGGTGAACAAGGAAGCCGAGATTAAGAAAAAAGCCAGGCCGTTTCCAGGCTGTTTACGCGTGAACCAGGGCCAAGCCGTGCTATTTCTGCTTGGTGGGCCAAGGAACGCTGTGCCTCATCTTGTCACCTCTTGTCTCCCAGCCCATGGACAACCGCCAGGCCATGGTAAGGCGGGAATCGGTCGTTAACTTGGAAAACTTCAAAAAGCAGTACGCCAGGAGGCGGTGGAAGGTAAGGACCTGAGACGCAGCAGCCAGAAACAGAAACGGAGATGCCAGGAACTCCCACTGGGTCTGTGCCACGATCATCGAGGGCGGACAGCCTCTCTTGTGAGCTGGTCAAGATTCTCCCCTGGGGAGAATGGTTGCCAAGGGAATTGCCCTCGTCCCAAAAGAGAGCAGAGGGGGAGGTTTCCCTGGAGCCCCGGAGCCAAGGAGCAGCAGAAGGCCTGTTTGGGTAGCCAGCTGGACCGGCCCCTACCCTTGGAGGCCCAGAAGCTGCTGCTGCCACCTCTGGATCCCATCTGGACTGTCCAGATCAGGCCTTGAGGCAGAGCGGGAGCTTCCCTGCCAAGGGGTGCCCTCTCCTCCTAGGCGGAGTGGTCTACTGCCAAGAGGGCGGTGCCTTGGAACTCAACCCCGAGGGAGAACACATCTGGTGGCTCCTTGTCTTGCGTGGCTTGGAGGGTCAAAGAGAATCTTCAGAGGGAGGCCGGAGGAATAGGGCAGCAGCGGGTTCAAAGAGAACCTGGGATAATTTACCTTGGAAGCCTTCCTGGTATTGCTTCCAAGCGTTGCCATGTCTAGGAGGCCGATATCAGAGTGACGCAGAGGCTCAGCACGAGGCTGTCCCTGTTTTTGGCTCCCAGCCTGTGACCTGCGTTCCTCTTTCTCCCCAGCTCACCTACAGCATAGTGGCTCTGTGCAACCACTTATCTCGCTCGCTGGTGAGAAAGGTTCGCTTAATGCAAGAGGAGAGTTTGGTAAGTATCTTGAGTGCAAAGAGGCGGCTTGGGCAGCCCGCACTGCTGCCTCCTTCAATATCTGGCCCCTGTGGGTTGCAAGGGCCCGGCCAGACTTTAGGACAGGCCTGGGGAGCCCGTTGCCTCCCGTCAGTCCTTGCCAGCGCAGGAATGCCGCTCAGCACAGCCTGGGAGACTCGGGTTCCCCTCCCCTGTTTTAGAAGCGTGCATGGCAGGAATGTCCTGGAGCAAAACCAGGCTTGATCCTGGTGAGGGGTTTTGCTCCGAGATTCCTCTGCCAAGGGAGAGACCACCCGGCTGCCTCACGTGCTCTGCCTGGGATTGCTCTCAGACATCTTCCTCACGAGCAGGAGGACTCCAGGCCCTGCAGGCAGCCTGAAGATCACATGCATCTCTGTTTCAGCGCCGCTGCGAAAGCGACCACGAAGACGACCTGCCCAGCCAAACGGCAGGTCCCCACTGTCTCCTGAGGCGGAGGAGCAGCGTATCGTAAGGGGGATTCACCTGTCGGACTGCAGGCTGCAGCGGCCCAGAGCTGAACGTGTGGGATGGGCCAACCGGCTGCCTTTCCCCAAAGCTTCAGCGCAGAACCCAAAGCTTCCTGTGGGAAGAGCCCTGGACACGCCGAAGGAGCTGCCACAAGGCTGAGGGACCCTTGGCTCCATCCCAGTTTTTCTTGCGGGAAAGTGGTAGGCAGGGGGATATCGCTTTTCTCTTCAGGGCACCGCAGCTTCGCCACCGTCGTCCATCACCTTGCAGAGAGCTTTCCAGCGGCGAGCCAGCGTCACGGCTGCTTTTGAAAGGGGCCAGGCTGCAAGGGGTTCGGCCGAGGCCACGACACCCCAATGACCTTGTTCCGCCCAGAAGGCCGTGCTGCGGAGGCCGCACTCAGGGCACGTGAGGCCGCGGCTGGAGGAGTCGCTCTTCTGACCGGGCGGGACGAGAGGCCCTCGGTCCAATTCCCTCCTCGCTTTTGCTGTTTTCAAAGTTCCCCGAACTTACCTTTACCTATTTTGCGGCACTCCTAGAGAAAGGCCAGGTATAAATCTGAAATGACCAATATCCTGCCTTTAAAAACGTCTTTCATAAAAAGCAGTACGGAATTGAGAAATAACACACACCTCCGTGTGTGTGTGTGTGGCTTTTAGGCGGATGCTGTTTTTAAGAAATGACAGGACGTGTAACTACAGATGTACACCCAAAGCAGTAGATGAGCATAAAGCCGGACTTCTGGAGAGCCGGTCCAGAACCAGTAAAACAGCCACGATGGGCTGAGCAGGGGAGAAGCCTTTGCTCCCGGCCAGCCTCCGCGCACGTAGACTTCAGCAGGATTTCTCTCACGCAGATCGTCCTCATAATGGGTGAGGTTTGGCTGGTTGGGTAAACGCTCCCAACGAAGCTGTTTATCTCGTTTCAAGCGTGGACAGCCGCTTCTCAGGGAATTCGGGGCAGCGACCTGCTTTCATTTTCTTTTTACCTTTTAAAGAGATGAGGAGGTCCCCCCGAGGGCTCGGGTTCCCTTTTGCCTAAAAATACACGTTGCGCAATCTTGGGCATATTCGTTGGAAGGAAGGAAGCTTGGCTGCGTTCCCGTGGCTGGATGACCAGGCCAAAGGCTGCAGTCAAGCAGGCTGAATCGGATGGACTGAAAGAATACCCCCTGTGCCAGTGCTGCTCAACCTTGGCGGCTTGAAGATGGGTGGACTTCAACTCCCAGAATTCCTCAGCCAGCCATTCCGGGAGTTGAATTCTGTGAGTTGAAGTCCAACCCATCTTCAAGCGGCCAAGTTTGAGCAGCACTGCGCTATGCTCTTACAGAAGGCCACAGCAATTCCCAAATTGCTCAGTCTTTTCAATAATTGTGCTTAGTTTCATGCTGCAAAGCTGATTTCATTCCAATATTGAACAACCGCCTTGTAAATCTCCCCTGCGCGGGCCCCGTGAAGGAGACCCACGGTGCCTTCATCCTCAGTCTGTTCCTGCAGCTCCTTTTAAATGCTGGGGTTTGTTCCACCCCCTCATTGGGGGCCCTTTGCAATAATGGTGGCTGCTTGTGTACTTTTCTACCCTTAGTCCAAGTGAGTCCCAAGCACCGTTTTTACCTTTTCTTCTCTCCTAGTACGGTCAGGTCATTACATGAACCCGTTCGATTCTGTTGGGATTCTTCTTTCTGGTTCTCCCTGCCCCGTGTCCATAACGCTACCTGTTTATTTCCTTACTTAACCAGGATGTTAAGGATGCTCTCGACTGGGGGGCGTTTTCAGCAGGCGCTTGTTTTGGGGGACCGATGTTAGTGGTGAGGTGATGGATATTCTTTTCGCTTGTGTGTTACACCTGCTTGCGTTCCAACAATACGCTTCGCCAGTTAGTTACAAGATGAGACATGCTCATCGGGCTAGTGGTAACCATGGTTTGTTTTGGGTGGCTTACTGTGTGGTACAAGCCCAGCCCATATCATGGCCTTAGGATTTGGTGTATAAGGCAGATGTAGGGCCTTCCTTGTCAGCGTTGTCTCTATTTCCAAACTCCAGAGATTTTAAAAACAAAACACCAACAGGAGGAGGTCTGAGGAAGGCCTCACATTCATTCTTGCAGGATGAAATTCTCCAAGAGGGGCGAGATTTCCTTAGGTCTCTCTTCACTCCACCTTGCAACCCATGAATTCGCCAGGCAATTCTGTGCATGAAGGCTCAAAAGTACCGCATGTCAGAAGATTGGGGGGGGGGGATGTTCCTCCCAGCCATGCAGCCGATTTCTGCCCAAAGAGTATTTTCCTTCACAGCTCATTTCTGCTTCCATTCCTTGTTTCCCTTCTTCTTTTACCCCAGGATGGTCAGTTTGCAAGATCAGCACCTTCCCCCATGATTTTTTTTGGGTGTGTACTGTGTATTTAGGTGCTTTCTTCAAAATAAAAGAATTATATATTTGGGTAGTGAGTTCAGCGACGTTGTTAACATCATGCATCTAAAAATTCTAGGTTTACAGGAAACATGGGGAAACAGGGGTCCTCAGCACGACGGAGGAGCGTCTTTCGCGCAGGTGGCCCGGTGAGCGGGAGAGGCGGCTCCGAATCTCTGAGCTGCTTCAGCCAAATCTGCCCAAAGCAAAGGAGGCTCGGGGTGCTTCTTCTGGACCTGAAAGCTTCCTTCTTGCCTCTCCAGGGACCTCCGGTAGCTGCCCCGGCTGGCAAGCATTTCCCCTTGGTGAGCCTGGTGGTCGAAAGGTTGCCCCCAAGGGTGTGCGGCGGCGGCGGCGGCATCGGAGGCCCTTCTGCCCCTGCTCTGCTACCTCCGTATCTGGAGGAAGCTGCCCTGGGCTGGAGGTGCTCTGTGCAGCAAGGTCCCCCCCTTCCCGGTGCCCGTCCAGCTGGCATCTCACCCTGGGCTCTGCTGAGCTCCTGAAGGTGGCCAGCTGATGGGGCGGCGGTGGGGGCAGCCTCTCCTTGTGCAAACACGCACTTTTATGGTGGGAGTGGGGAAGCTGGGCTGGGCTGGGCTGGGGGCTTCTGCTTCCGTGGCATCTCTGGCCCTTTCCCTCCGGAGCCCCTTTCGCTGGGAAACGCTCCCCCCACACGGGACCCGAGGATGGGGTTTCATCTTCTTTTCTACCCTTATTTCCACTTCTTTTAGAGTCCCCTCTTTTTTTGAAAAGGCAGGGTGAACTTTGGCAGCAGATTCTGGAGTTTAGTCCGGGGCCCCTGCGCCTCCGGCCTGTTCTTCCCCGGCGCCGAGGCAGCCGACACGGACCTCGGGGCGGAACGCGGCCGGCCGGAGGTC